TTGAAGTAGTGGGTGGTGCAGTAGTAGTTGGTGAAGCAGTGGGGGGTACAGTTGTAGTAGTAGTTGAAGTTGTGGTTGGTGCAGTAGAAGTTGAAGTAGTAGTAGAAATAGTTGTAGGTGCAGTAATAGTAGTAGTAGCAGTAGTAGTTGTAGTAGGTAGAGCCGTGGTGGAGGAAGGTGCTGTTGGGAAAAAAAGACAATAAGAGTTGGTTTGAAAAATGTAGTTAAGTTACATTAAGTTAAATTTCTGTTATTATTATTATGAGTGTATTTTTTAATTAACGCTTCATATAATCTTGACATGTCAATTATTTGGACTGTAGATCAGAGAAACATTTTTTAAAGCTGCATTATGTAACTTTTGATGTAACAGATGGAGGGTCTGTCAGTTGCTTGTCTTGGAGATGTTCTTATCTGGAATGTTCCACAGTATGGAACCGAACACATAATCTTGGATGTCTGTTTTAATTTTATCTTGACAAGCATGCGTCCTTGCCTCTCCACAGACCTGACCTGTAACTTCTCTCCATGGACACAGACATGAACAGAGCCATACTGTGGAACATTCCAGGCAAAGCAATAATAGCTCTTACTGGTGACTAGTGCTGATTTATTCTTCATCAGAAATACTGTACAGCAGAGGTGGAACCAAGTCTTTGTTTTGCAAGTCTCAAGTAAGTCTCAAGTCTTTGAACTCAAGTCCGAGTCAAGTCCTAAGTCAAATACTTGCAAGTCCAAGTCAAGTCTGGCCAATAAGTCCAAGTCAAGTTCAAGTCATCTGCTTTGAGCTTCAAGTCATTTCAAGTCTTTAAACCAAAGTACTTAGACTTTTGCAATTTATATGAATTTTAAGATAAATTGCACTTAAAAAGCCATAGTGTATTTATATATGAGTATTTACAAAGTATATAAGAGTTATAAAAAATAATTTAGTTAATTTTTCCTTTTTAAATGTATTGACAAGATCTTAGTGTGAATCATTACGGTCAGAATAGAAAAAAATCTGATTTAAAAGTGCTTTTCAAGTCTTCTGAAGTCACAGGCCTCAAGTCCGAGTCAAGTCCCAAGTCACTGACCTTCAAGTCCAAATCAAGTCCCAAGGCTTAGTCCATTTCATCAAGTCAAGTCTCAAGTCCTGAAAATAGTGACTCAAGTCTGACTCGAGTCCAAGTCACGACTTGTAAGTCCCCACCTCTGCTTTAGAGCAATATTGTTTATGTTAGAATTTGGAGTTAAGGTTCTGAAAGAGCAGAATAAGCCTCACATTTGGGCTTTCAAATGAGGCCAGGTGTGTCAATATACTGAGAATAACTTATTATTGATTAAATTATTTGTTCATTTAGGATCTGGCAACCCTCCATGCTGGCAACCCAGGTGAAGCTGTGATTGTATGTAGCTCTTAAAAAGCACTACTGTTCCTTTAAATGACATACTTCATAAAAATATACTTACTACACTTAATTTTTCCATTCTGACAGTTGCTACAAAGCACAAAATAAGAAGTTTAGCAGTTAGCTTCTACTTTTACTTTCTTCAAATTTCTGATACATTTGTAATCACTTACCATTCTCTCAGATCTATTAAGACCCTGGTCCCCGGATCTAGGACAGTCCCATTGAAATAACAAGTACAGTTTCGCAAATCTGTGCATTTTCCAGTATGTTCATCATAATACGGCTTCTCTTCAGGGCATCTGGGATAACAACCTTTGACATAATTTTACAGATGTCAGTGTAATATTATAACAATATTCCTTCTTTAAAACGTTACTGTTTGACACATTAAAAACTATGAATTATTAAATATGGTTTGGCATTTCAAGCCTTTGTACCTTCTAGTTTATAAGTAAAGTCTTCGTCTTGGCCACAGGTGAGCAGTTGACCACAAGCTTGATAGTGCCACACACACTGGTCGTGCTCATTGTAGTAGTCACAGTACACCGCTGAAGAGAAATAAAAATACTTGGTCAGTGTTAATAGTGTAAACTTGGTTTCTATAGTTAACAGAAGTACACTTTCCAAATGCCAAACCAAATGCCAAAAAAATTGAATATAATATTTCCTTGTATTAAATCAATCATTACTCCAATGCGTGCCTGAGCAAATTTAACTCCAACAATGTGGGCCAAAAAATGCAAATATGAAATATGGGTGTGATTCTTGGTTATCTGCTGTGTGTTATCAGTGCCATTTTGAGGAATTTAACTTTAAAAATATGGGAAACAGCTGTCTTTATTCAAGGCAGCGGTCACTAGAGGCTGCAAATATAACTATTGACTAAAAAGACTAGGGACAGTAGACAGTACTAGTCAAACACTACACAGTTAGCAAAAAAATGTTTTTGATGTTTAGTTCCACTGTAATTGTTAAAGATAAATAAATCACACTCACGGCATAGATCAGGAGTTCTCCAGTCCACACAGACGTCCCAGTGGCTGCAGGCTTCGGCATAAGCGGCGACAGCGGTACAGAAGCCCAGAAACCTCCCCTCAAACTCACACGAGCAAGACTCCTGCACACAGGCCTGGTAGTACGGCTCTGGGTCCACCTGAGAACAGAAGATAGACACATTTTAAAGGTGCATTGTGTAATTTTTATGGAGGAAGGTCCGGCAAATGCTCTTCTTCTTGGAGATGTTACTGCTTTGTCTGGAATGTTTCCCAGTATGGCATTAAACCTTTGTATCTTCAGAGACCAAACCAGACCAAGTTGCAGGTCAAATCTGTGGAGAGGCGACCCCGTTCACAGTTGAGAATGCCTGTTTTTCAAGGTATTTTTGAGCTATAAAACCACCTGTAATTGAATAAACGTAAACGTAGAGCTGTTTAATGCCATACTGTGGAACATTCCAGGCAGAGCAATGACATATCCACAGAAACAAGCAGGTGACAGACCCTCAATCAAAAAGTTACAAGAGAAATTCAGATTTTGGGGGGTTTAATTAGTAATCAGATATGTGCAATAATAAATTAATTGCTTTGTGTTGCATTTTTTTGTATGAAAAGTGCTCTATAAATAAAGTTTGATTGATTGATTTTACATTTTGTTCATTGTAAACTGTAAAATTTAAATGACTTATAATATAGAAGCGTCCACAAATGTACAGTTCAAAACAAAATAGACACGCTGCTCATATATTTTGAAGGTCAAAATGAGACTGCTGTGTGCTGTCTGCATCTTAATATAAAGCGTTTTACTGTCTAAGACTCAGGAAGTGCACTGTTAGCATGCTAGATGTTGGTAATGTTTATCGTTCTCTCCACTTTGGCCTCTGACAGTTGTGAAAAGCCCTTATAATCTCATCTCAGTGAATAATCAGGACTTTGGACTACTGCCAACAGTTTAAAATAAGCTAATTCTATTTTTCATGTTTTTAAAATAATAAAAACAGTCCATTTAAGGCAAAGAATAATCATATAAAACTTTGTACTTTAAGATGACAGTCTTTGAACGTGTCTCCTGTAATGATCCGGCAGCGTCTTTGGGCCCAGGCTCCACAGTACGAGTTTCGTTCACACGGAAATATCTCCGTCGTAACATCAGAACAGGGAGGGGAGGGGCTCTTCCAGCTGTTCCCAAACACCACCGGAGTCAACGCCACTAAAACAAACAAACAAACAAACACAGTTACTCACAATGGTAAGATAACAGGCCTGTCATGATAAATACTATATCAACTTATCAAGCTGGAACAATATTTGGGGCTAAATATTTATTGCCCGCACAATTTCTTTGCAAAAGTCGGGAGATTTTTGACATTTATGAGATAATATATAGACGTAAACTTAGATTTACCTGATGAATCCTTTATTTGAAGATCATTCATCTCATTGGAGTCAAAGTTCCCACAGAGGCCACACACCTCTTTCTGTGGAACAAAAAACAGTAGTACAACAGGTGTAAAATATGCCCAAAATACACAAAATATACAAGCATGTATGTATAAATGAAACAAAACAAACACAGAAAAATTAAAAGCAAGGATCTATTTGGGCAACAAAAGTTTTAAAAGCCTTATTTAACTGGGGTATTGAAAAAATATGTCTAATTAACAAAGTTTTCCTCACCCTCCATTGTGGCTGCAGTTCTATTGTGATCCAAGTGTGTTTGTCCCAGATCAGAGTGATGCCTTTAGTGGGGACAGTTATAATGATGTAGAGACCCACTGTTTGAATTGTGTACGGAGGACTGTGTTGGAGCAGGGCACTGTGGACCTGCTCCGTCACTTTCATGTCACTAAGAGAGAGGCTGAAATGGTCCTTCAAGAAAAAAATTATCACATTGAGGCCTTAACTATCGTACAATGAAGAGGTTGTTGAAAAGTACTTACTTTGACATCCAGCACAATTGATCGAGAACAAGTAAGGGCCTCGTCACAACAGGGAACACTTTCAACTCGGACAGAAAATGTACCATTTCTCCTGCCACAGTCATCCTATAGAAAATAATTAACTTTACTTTCACGTTGTTAGAGTATCATTGTCACATCTCATACACTGGGACTAGAGAAGGATTAAACCCTGACTAGAACACGACTGCAAGTCAAGTCTTCATCATAACTAAACTAGGCTCAGGGGGGCCTGATGTCCATCAGTCTGCCTCATGGCAGCTGTGGCTACAGTAGTATCTTACCATCATTGAGTATGGAGTGAATAAATAATAACTACAGTGTAGCACTTTGAGCGGCTTTGACAGGCCAGTAAAGTGCATTACAAGTGTAAGGCAAAATTATTCTGAAGAAAGAAAATTTCTGTGTGGTTGAAGTTGTCGTATAATTGTAAGGTTGGAGGTTAAATCCCAGCTCTAACCAGTCCAAGACACATTACCTTATATGCCTATGTAGGCATATAGGTCAGTAGGACCCAAGGCAGTTGTGGCTACAACTAGAAGCTTACCTTCACAGAGAATGGAAAATTTGTATAAAGTGAATAATCTAAATATAAAATCCTATGTTCTTACCTTGACTAATGTGTACTGACAATGACCATCAAAGCGAAACCATTTGGAGTCAAAAGTCTGATAGTGTCCATTCCCAAAAACTTGACATGTACTGGAGCACAGTTCATCTGTGCACTGCCACTGGCCATTAGAGCACACACTGAAAAATACATACATTTTTGCTTTAATTATACATCGTATTTATTAGGTTTATTTGGCATCAGAAAAATTCAAAACTACTCGTAGTTTAACATTGAGCTGGAGGACAGGTCAGAATAGTATGGTAGAATTTGCCTTTTAACTCTCCAAATGCAGATGTTTTGATTTGCTTTATGGTTAATATCACTCAAATTATCCTCTTGATGAAACAAAAACTGTCACAAATTGCTAAATTAATGTCAATGTAAAGTTGTAATGTGTGCAATGTGTGTGTTAATGTTGATATTTTTTTCAGTAGAATATATATATATATTTTTTTTTAAGTAAAAACAAACGAGTTGATCAAAACTGATTTTAGATCACAATGAACCTATGAAATACTGTACTGAAAACTGTAAATTGTATAAAAAATTAAATTTTTTCACTGTTGTATTAACTATAGAAGGTCCTTTTTTCAAACATTATAGTATGATTGATTGTTGTCAGATGAAATGACTTTAACTACAGAAGGACGAAAAAATTTAAATGGGAACTTTGTGAACTGAACTGAACCCATAGAATAATACAAAAGCCACTGTCCTCCATCAGAAATGATAAAATGTTAAATTTAATTATGAATTGAACCTATTGCCTTAGAAAATACCTTAAACCCTGTAGCTGTAAACACAGATTAGTACCATGATGTACAGGAGCTCTTGACGGTCTCTCCTGCATTATAAACTTTTCCACTGTAGGAGCAGGTGCAGTTGTCCAAAGGCACACAGTCTCCATGATGATTCTCAAACTGGTCAACCTGGACAGTAACAGCCGCTCTCACAAGAAGAAGTCTGGAACATTAAAAGGCAAACATTTAATCAATATAATTAAAAATCAAGTATTCATAATAATTTCTTTATTAACATCAGTTGAACTTAGAGGTGGGAGACATAGTGAAAATGTAACAACAGCAAAATTAAGTATACTCTCTGCATTAAAAACTATAAAACGAGATTGAAAATACAGTTCATTCATGTTTTTTCTGCGATATTTCATCTTTACCCATGACATTTACCAGCATCTTTTAGCTAATATCCGATGGTTTGCCATACAATGATTATGATATGATTATGATCAAAATAATTTGGACAATCGGACCCATCTGTACATTTCATAGAAATACCAAGAAACATCGTAAGTATTTTACTGATACAACTGAGTTGCAAAATATTAAAATCCATATATTTAGCAGTCTAATACCTTTGCTAATACTTACTGTGGGTTTGCTGAGACTGCCACAGGTTTTCTGAAGAGTGTTCACTTTAAAATCCGAGCAGTGAACACAGACTTTCCCATTTGTGCATCCTGATGAAAGTTATTTTAAAAACAACATAAAAAAAAAGCATTTATCATAATTGCAAAAGTATAACAAAAATCTTCTAAAGCATGTATGAGAGTGCATATGATTTACCACAATCATCTGAACACTTCAATTCTCCATCTTCACAAAAACTGCAAAACAAACAGATCACTAGTCATGACCAGCTACAAGAAAAAAACTAAAAAAAAAACACGGTGACATAAAACAGCAACAGTTTATATGTAGTTTATTTTTTAGTATCTAAAAATTAATACACATTTTTTTGCTTTTAAGTCCATGCTCAGCTCACCACTGTCGCCCGTCGATAACAGCAGGCCCGGGGGGGTGGTGCCTCCGTTGTAGTGGCACTCGCACTGAGACTTGGGGCTGCAGATGAGATCTTTGTTCAGGTGGGTTCCTTCAGGACATCCACAGCCCTCCACTGGAGCATCCTCCAGCAGACAGCACAGGTCCAGGGCCTGACAGGGACCGACAGGTGCTGTTACAGGCCACAACGTTATAGGAAAACTCCTGGTTCCCCGGGCACTCCACCGCTGCAACACAACAACACAGAGAATTTAAATGATTAAGAATTAGAGAACACTCAACTACAGATCACATGATCTGCTATAAGTACAAATTTGTAGTGCTAAATAAATAACTACATTTTACAGTGGGATAAATGAGTTTGCCCTTTTTCTTGTCTATGTATTCCACAGAATTCCTGTATCTTTTGGAAGATTTTGTTCTTTGCATTAGTTTTTTTTTATACATTCCTCCACAACACATAATTAAAACTGGACCTGGACTAGACCCTGGCTAAACTTGGACCAAACCGAGTCAACATCAGAACTAAACTGAGCTTAAACTACTTGGATATTGTGCAAGGAGCTAGCTATGGGCCATTAAGATCCTACAGCCTTTTTACACCAAATGCAAGAGTAAATGTGGCAGAAAATGTGGCAGAAGACCTTCCAGAAGAAATACTTCGAAGGAATGAATAATTTCATCATTAACCGTAACAACAGAGCAGAGTGAAAATGAAGCTTAGAAGAGAGTTACTGACATGTTATGTCCACCTGCTGTTCCTCTTTGACACTGCTGTGATGCTGCAGGACACAGAGGAGGAACACTTTTGGCTCTTCCTCTCCTCAAACTGCCCTGACACAGGATCTGCTGACCCTCCCTGAGCAGTCCTCCAGTTAAACTGAGACACAAAGGCCACTGAGAAGCGCAGTGTAAATGTTGCTGCAACAAAATTGAATTTCCCTCTGGATCAATAAAGTGCCTATCTAGCTATCAGTCTATCTAAACTAGGACCAAACCAGAGCAATATCTGAAGGCAAAACATGGTTATCCTGATTATGCAACACTGGGATTTAACCACTAATCTTTCAGTTATATGGCAAGCACCTCTACTTACTTAGTTACTGCTGCCCTTTATATTAATTGGAAAATAATACTTTAATAATTTCAAGAAAGATTAATCGGCTTGACTTCAGACTGTCATTGGTTGGATTGAGTGTCAGCGCAATGTGACAATTATGTGACATGTGTGACCAAATCAAGATTAGACTTGGACAAACTTTATGCAACAAGTAAACAGAAGTGTAACAAAATAAGATAAATGAAAATACAACAATAATAATATATAAAGTAAGCTAAAATGTAAATTAAAATATTACCCTGTTTTCTCCTCAAAAACATAGTTGTGTTTTGTTTCACTGACACATGTTTAACACAGATCCTGCATATTTAGACTCTCATATTTAGGTTCTTTTGTCAAATGGAAAGCACTTCCTGATAATACAGGAAGTGCTCTACTGTGTTTTTAAACTCAATACACCTTCACTAGAATTATTTGGATCATTTAAGCCCTGGAATTGCCCATTTCCACAGAACAGAAAAGAAAGGGTGGCTGTTAACAGACTAATAATAATAATGAGTTACTCAAACACATGTGAATGAAACAAAACACAACTTCACGTATGTTTTTGAGGAGGTATCTGCATTAGAACACAGCTAAAAACTCACACGAGTCGGTTTTGCACAATATGGGACCCTAAAATTAATTAAGTTATAAGTGCTTTGGATATGCATTTAGTTACGGTGAAACTTACAGCAGTTGGTGGCCTTCCTCCAGTCCCCCACCTCCACCCCGAGAGCAGAGCAGGCTTTGACATAACTGGACAGAGCAGAGCACAGACACTGGTGCAGGTCAGAGCCACAGGTGCAGGTTCTCTCCACACAAGCCTGAAAGGGAAAAAACATCACCAATGGACTCAAAATAACTTTATACATAACAGATAACCCAGCTAACAGGTATAATAGGTACCCTATGTCCTGTCAATCATTATTCCATCTTTGCACTGTTTCTCCTCATGACCTCTTGCTACTTGTACATATATATTTCTATAATTACGTCTTATTTGACACTAGTCTCTTGCCATGTTTGCTGGTTATATTGAATTATTTATTATTATTACTATTTATATTTGAACTCTTTGTTATTATAATACATTGTGATGTGTGAGCAGCTGTGTCCAAATAATTTTACTTGTGGATCAATAAAGTTTGTCTAAGTCTAGGTTTATTTATCAGTTAGGAAACACTTTTACAGACTTTTACAGGTATTTTCTATATTGAAGCACACTGACCTACCATACCTACCATAACATAGCCTGTGTTGCCCACTTATAAACCCTGAACTTAACCTAGACTAGACCAGGACTAAACCAGGTCTACGTCAGAGCCCATGGGACTTGCAAGCCCTGACTTGGACTTGAGTCAGATTTGAGTCACTATTTTTAGGACTTGAGACTTGGCTTGGACTTGAGGCCTGTGACTTGAGAAGCACTTTTAAATCTGAATTCTTTCAGTTCTGACCGTAATGATTCACCCTAAGATCTTGTCAAGACATTGACATTGACAAGACAAGACATTGGAAAAATTTACATTTCTACAACTCTTATATAAATACTCATATATAAATAAATTATTTAGTTTTTAAGTACAATTTAGTTTAAAATTCATATAAATTACAAAAATCTACTGGTTCTTTGGTTTAAAGGTTTAAAGACTTGAAATGACTTGAAGCTCAAAGCAGACGACTTGGACTTGACTTGGACTTATGGGCCAGTGACTCAAGACTCGACTTGGACTTGCCTGTATTTGACTTGGGACTTGACTCGGACTTGAGGTAAAAGACTTGAGTCTTACTTGAGACTTGCAAAACAACGACTTGGTCCCACCTCTGCCATTCGTATACAGTATAAACATAGAACTCAGGACTTTAAAAGAATTATCTTCTCACCATGAAATAATTGTCAGTTGGGACATCGCCGTGACATGCAGCAAATATTCCAGTTGGATCGTTTAAAACAGAGCATTTCTTCTCAGCAAAGATTTCTGTTAAAAAGAAAAACAAACAATGTTTTAAATACTGTTAAACTTGTTTAAATGTTTAAACTCTAGTGCATGTGTGATGGCTTCCGTGCCTGTCACAGTAATTATTATACTGACATTTTGTATCACTGATCGCTGAAATTTTCTCTGCTCCAGTGGAGAAAATTATATATATTCGCTCAATTCGCTGAAAGCCACATATTAACATGCTTTATAAGTTTCAGTTTTTGAGGCCCTCTGTGCTAAGTCACTCCCCTTTCAGAGTGCTATCACAACAAATTCAGTGTGTATCCCCCTTATGAAATTACTGCACATTAGGTTTATCAAGTTGGTGTGTACTGTTTTGTATTATGTTTTTGTTTATTTATTGGGTAATTTTTGTGTGGAGCATGGACGACGTAGGTTTGTGCACTGGACAGAAGCTTACTGCTAACTGTAAGGAAGGTTCCTAAATGGATATAAAATATTAAAATACTCAAACGTGCATGGATGACATCCCCTCCTCCACCTCTTCAGGCATGTTTTTGATGAGAGGAATCAATTTACATTTACAGTCATTAACATACACTTTAAAGATTGACATTTGGCAATTATAAAGACAGCAGTTTATAGGACACGAAAGATAATCAATATTTTTCCCATTACGTACCGTATTCAGTTCTTATGCATGGAGGAGGAGGATTCAGTTTGTTACAAGGACTGACACTCCAGGACTGAGCAAACAGGTGAGGCGAGTTTTCAATAATACGAGTGTTTGTCCTGAAGTCGTCTGTGGTGTCTCCATTGTTATTTCCACATAGACCTGAACAAAAATACATTTCTGGGAATAAATATTTTGACATGCTTCTGTACACAGATAAAACCACTCAATCTGTCTTTCATTCCTTATGAGCAATTCAGAATTCTTTCACATACAGGGCATTATGTAACTTTTCTGGTGGAGGGTCAGTAACCTGCTTGTATCTATGGACATGTCTTTCCTCTGCCTGGAGCTCTATCTTACATTTATAATATTACAGGTGGTTTTACTGCTCAAAAAATACAAAAAAAAACAAACAGATAATATAATAACATATACAAGCATTTTGACTGTGAGTAGGGTTGCCACTCCATAGATCTGACCTGTAACTTGGTCTGGATTGGTCTTCATGAAGATAAAAACATTTAATACTGTGAAACATTCCAGACAAAGCAAACGCATTTCCATGAAGAAATGGGTCTGACAGAGCCTCCACCAGAAAAGTTACTTCTGGCATACCATACCTTTAACTTACTTGTAATGAAATAATGCATTAACTCAATGTATCACTATTATAAACCACTGCATACCTTTTGGGCACTGAAGCAGGCATGAAGGAAAGGCACACCACCAAATTTACATTACAATACTGTTAAATCTGCCTCACCAGAGATTGTGTCATTGTAGTTTGAAGGGGGGCTGATGTAGAGATGAATTTCTGGAGACATCTGGATTTGTAGCTTGAGTCCAAAAGCTGTGTAGACTTCAACAAACATGGAAGACTGCCAGAAAACCAAGGCATGCTCTGAAAAAAGACACATAATACAAATATATAGTAGAATGTAAGGGGCTGTTACATGTGACTTCTCAGATCCAACAGTTGTGAGTTTGCAAATCTGTAGAAACAGGGACTTTGTCTGAACAACCAGGACTGACATTGTCCCAACAAAGTAAAGTGAAATACTTCATGTGAAAATACCATAGCATTTGTTTTACAAGAAATGCATGATTTCATTTGTAAAAAAAAAATGTGTCTCTGTAATGTCTCACCTTAAAGACATATCAGTAGGGATGTAACAATAACCAAAATATTTTGATATCGTATTGTCAAAAATCTTACAGTAATATCAAATATCAAATCACAAGTTCCTTTGCTTAAATGCATGGTTTTATAGTAGCAACAGCTTATAAACATCAGGAACTACATATCCCAAGATTCATTTCAGGGCAAACAACATGAAAAAAAATATCTTTTTTACTTTAATTTTAGGGATTATGATGGAAATAATTCACATCAAAATCTTGTCAAGGTATTTTAATAGCAAAAAAGTTTCCTATCTACAATTATATTAGCCTCTCCAAAATATCGTAATGAATATCTTACCGTGAGATGCATATTGTGATAATATCTTGCCAAGAGATTTGGATATCGTTACATCCCTACATATCAGTACTTATTTTTCCAAAGGAAGGCTTAGATTTACAGTGGTAAAGATTATCTGATAAATTGTGTAAACTGTACAGAGCCCTGGTATATACATTTACAAATAAGGAGCAACAGTGGCTCAGTGGTTAGGGCAGTAGTCCTCTAACCTGAAGGTCAGAGGATTGATTCCTGCTCAGACCAAATTCTGAGGGTATGTCGTTAGGCAAGACACTTCACCCGCTTGCCTGAATGTCTGAATGACTGGTGTTGGTTGGAGGGGCCAATGACACAGACTGGCAGCTGTGGCTACAATAGTAACATACAACAACCAACTGTAGAGTGAATGAATAATAACTGTGTGAAGTGAAGTGTAAGACATTATTATTATTATTAAAATGTCATTATAATGAATGAGGCAGGACCCGGAAGTAGAGAAATGACATGATCACTCAACAGCCCCATAGACAGATAGACAGATAAATAGATATGTTCCTCACCAGACTCATGAAGGTCAGAGATCTCCTTGCCATCAAATGTAACCTTGTTGTTGGCAAATTTGTATTTTTCCTATAAATGACACATGAATGTGCACATAAATAAAAAATAGTATAATTATTATGATAATTAATGCAATTACTGTCATTTTTAGTACCTCAAAAATGTCAAGATCCACAGAGTTCATAGAGGTTGCTTTAACTGCATACTCTATTACTATTTTCCAGTCTGAACCCTGCAAGGAACAATATTTATGCTTACAAAATTCAATGTTTTCAAATACTGGAAAATAACCGAAAAGCTAAATTGTACCTGTGAAGCCACAAATGCACACCCACTGCCCACTGTGTATCTCTTCCCATCAAAAGTAGTTGACAAAGTTCCCCTCTATCACACAAACAGATGGAAGATCATGGCTCGTACATTTCCATTCTCCGTCAAAACATAAAGCTGCAATAAATATAAAATATAAAATATAAAATTATAATTAAACTCATTGCACATTTGACGTATAATTTCCACATTATTTTACCATGTTTCTCTTGTGTTGCTGCGTATCTCTCCAGGTTCATAACGGCTATTTCCAAACACACAAGAGCAGCTGTATGTATTCACACAATGGAAGCCCTCCTGATGGTCGTCAAGCACCAGATCTATAGTTTAAAAGCATTTCATTTAAAGTAATAATAAGAAAATGATAAATAAATGTAAAATTTTCAGTTAATTAAAAAATACATAATCAGAACATAGTGATTCATAGTGATTCATTCAACTTTTTTTTTTTGTAGTAATAATCTTATAGTTTTTCCTCTTCTAACTGTTATTTGTATTCAAAATATATTATGAAACTTTTTGTACATTGCATAACATTTGCGCAAGTCTCTTGATTTTTCCCCATAGTCAAACTAATCATGGTTTTATAATATTATCTACTCACATTACTTTATCTTATCACAAGCTGCAAGTTGTATTTATTTTCTGTTAAATTTCTGTCAGTGTTTTGATTAATTTACTTCGACTATTCATCTCATTATCAATAAATTCTTATCTTATATATATTGCAAAAGGGAAATTGCTTCAAATAGATAGAAAATATAGCATAAGAGCATGTTTTGTAATGCAAGTCTGACTAATTCTTTAACATCAGGCTACAACATGTATTTCTCATATTGGTATTTAAAATGATGTGTAATTTCTTACCGTTGGGGCAGACACAGGAGCTGGTGACTTCTTGGCTGTCGATTTTTGGATTTGAGCAACTAGGAATAAACGCTGCACCCTTCTCCTCATAAAGCAACTCACCAGGACACTTAGGCTCACCTAAAACAGAAAAAGCAACACTCAAATTAATTTCCAGCTTTTAAAAATGAATTATTGATTATTGATTGGTTTAAAAACTCACTACAATGTGTTATGTTCCTCCACTGGTCGGCTATGTGGCTGTGTTCTCCACATTGTTGGATCACCTCTTGAAAGAAGGAGCATCTGACATACTCGTTTTGTTCAAAGTTGTAAATATTTTGTTCACACAGTTTTATATAATTTGGGGTCATTTGCGTCAGGCAGTCCACAGTTTGAGATAAAAACTTTCTGCAATCCTATGAAAAAGGAACAAAGTTTGTAAATAAATAAACAATCCTTTAAAGTTTCACTATGTAACTTTTCTGGTGGAGAGTCCGTCACCTGCTTGACTGACTTGTTATTGCTATACCTAAAATGTTACACACTATGAGTCATATCTTGCTCCCAGTTTTAGCATGAGCTCAGGCGCGGAGCCCAAATGAGAGGTGTGCCATGCTTCAGTGTCAGGTGGAGTTTTCATTAGATCAAAAATCAAACTCATATCATCACTGTAAAATGTTGAGCAAATATCACTTTTTTAAATTGGGAAAACGTAATTATTTATCCAGATGCTACGTTAGTGACGCTACCTTAGTGAATGTTATCATAGCGACCGTTACCATGGCAGTTGTTACAATAGTCACCATTACCATAGCAGCTGTTACCATAGGAACCATTACCATAGCGACTGTTACCATAGCAACTATTACCATGGCAACCGTTATCATGATTACGTGTTGGTGTGTGTTATGTTGTGTGTTACCATAGTGCTGTTACCATTGTGGCGTTACCATAGCAACCGATACCGTGTAACTTTTTGGTTGTAATTTATTATTAGAAACTTTTAACAGTAAATCTTCTGACTCTCTCCTCTGTTGTTCAAACCCTCTCCTCTGCTCCTCTGACCTTCTCCTCTGTTAATAATCTGGCAAAGGTTCATGCTTGTAACATAAAAGCGAACTATTTTGGTCCTTAACGGCTCCACTATTGCCTGTCTCTACTGAGCAAAATGCAAAACATAGCTGTTAACATGAAAACTTCAGCTTCATGACATCACGAGGTGGAACAGAATATTTTGAGCTTCAGAGATGTAGACAGACTAATAATAATAAAGGATTAAAAACCTTGTTCATAGTAGAGGCTGGATCCCATATTTTGCATGTTCCTTCACGTAGAACGCTTTGTGAAATCAACTCCTTTATGTTGCCAGCTGGGAAAAAAACAAAACAAAAGCACATTTCAAATTTACACCAAGAATTTAAATCAAGTGACCAACCAATACCTGCTAAAATCAAAATATGTCTTACCGGTGATGCGTCTGAGGTGATTTCCACAAAGTCCTTCCATGTCAGAATCCAGCTCTTGTTCAATCTCAACCTTAAAGTGTATATAACAGATTAGACCAATACTAAAACATATTTAACATCAGTATACTTAAGATTTCCTAAAAGAAAATTTGATTTTTATAGTTTTGATTTGTATTGTTTTATGTTAAGTTTCTTATTTTATTTCCTGGTTGGAGCAGCAGATACATATAACTTATATAGAGGTATTTCCATAACTGTTACCTAGCAACCATAATGTTTTTCAAAAGCCAAAACTTGACTAAATTACACAAATATTATGATTAGACTGAGCCAGAGTGTTGGAGAGGTGTGGAGACACTTTTTAAAATATTCCATCCAGTCCTTGTATTTGCAGAGGTTGCTGGTGCTAGGCTAGTGCATGTCAATGGCCATAGTTAGCCTGCCGCTAAAAACAGCCTTACCCACTCCACAAAACACCCGAAGCAAAACAATTATAATGACAAACTGTCAATGTTAATGTCTGTGTCGATAGAATAATTTTAGAAGTAAAATCAACCTTGCATTTGAAGGATTTATGTCTGAGCAGCAGCAGCGAGTTGTACTTCCTGATAGAAAGCTTGGCAGCGGCGGACTGACGTATGAGAAAATAGTCCCTCAACATATGCCGATTCATGCGATGCAAAGTTGGTTTTGTTTCAAACATTATTCTATCAACACAGACATTTACATCGGCAGTCTGGCATAATAATTGATTTGCTTCAGGTGTTTTGTGGAGTGGGTAGACTGTTTTTAGTGACAGGCTAACTATGACCATTCACATGCACTAGCCTAGCACCAGCGACCTCTGCAAATACAAGGAGTGGATGGAATATTTAAAAAAGTGTCTCCACATGTCTCCAACACTCTGGCTCACTAGGAAATAAGGTCCTATGTCCAAAATTCCGAACAGTCCCTTTAAAAATAAAATTCTAATTACAATATATATAATTGTAGGCCTCAGTAATAATCTTGTTTTTTGTCTCACCCATAATGTGCCAATTCCTCCAGGGACATTTTGCCAGATGACCGAGAGTGGGATCACAGAACTCCTCAGCTTGGTGTAGATGCCAAAGGGAAATATGTGCTGGTATGTGTGGTCATAGGGTAAACGAACACTGGCAAACAGAAGTTAGCACAACTTTTACAAGGACATTTTAAGGTGGGGCTGGGTCATGGGTCACAGTGAAACAAAGCTAATCTCTATGACTATTGATACTTGGCAGCTGACATCAAAAACGTTCCCTGAGGGTGTGAAGCTAATTGAAGGCACTACTCTATCTGAAGCTCTCTTACTTACTTACTAGATTAAACTTTAACAGAGTCTGACCAGAAAGATCAGATTTAGCCAGAACTACAGCAGGATAACTAGTATAAATACACATTTTTTTGTCAGTTAAAAAGAATTCTGAGCAACAAAATTAATGTGATAATTTTGTGGAGGCAATCGCTGACAAAAAATGAAAAACATATGTGCGTTTTACAATCAGATATTACTTTCCAAATCAGTAAATCTCCCATAGCAACACAACTTATTTTCTTTGTAGTTCAACCAACTTACTTACACTAACACTGCTTCTTGCGAGCTTTAAGCCATGTTATAATACTGTTTTCTTCTCAAAAACATACCTGGAGATGTGTTTTGATTCATTCACGTATGTTTGAGTCGCCTTAGTACCTTTTATCTTTTGTTCAGTAAAGATTGGCAATTCCAGGGATGAAATTATCGAAATGATTCTAGTGAAGGTGTATGGCAGGGATCATCAAACTAAGGCCCGCGAACTGAATCCGGCCCTCCACACCCCTTTGACCGGCCCTCCAGCCCCGCTGCCCCCCACCACTTGAACTGGCCCTATGAGGCAATCCTCAAAAGTTGCCATGGCCAGTTTTTTTTTTAATTACTTTTTGGCAAGTAATAACATGTCTGCACCTTGTATTTTGCAGATTTTTCAATTAAAAAAATATAATTATATGAAGTATTTATATTAAAATAATTATATGATGTGTTTACATTTGCTGCCGAATTTGCTGCCGAATTTTCATCACCTGACAAGCTCGAGATCAAACAGTGACATTCAACGCACACTCAGAGTTCAGCAGTGCAGTTAAGAACAGCAAAGTGGCGACTAATAAAATACAAAAACTCGACAGAGAGTGCCGAGTTTTCAAAGAACATTGGACGACCGATTATTTTGTTATTCAGTGTAAGGACCGTGCAGTTTGTCCGATATGTAAAGAAAGTGTGGCAGTTTTCAAAGAATATAATCTGCGTTGTCAGGGTCAAACAATTCTGTTATACAGCCGACCTGAACCCAGCTCCCATTACAGTTAGGAGGGATAAAGTGGCCCCCAGAGAAAAAAGTTTGGTGACCCCTGTTGTATGGAGTTTAAAAACACAGTGAAGCACTTCCTGTATTACCACATGACATCACAGGGTGGAACAAAGTTTTCAGCTTGAGACAAAAACTCAGCTTAAATATGCAGGGTTTCTGTGTTAAACATGTGTGAATGAAACAACATTATTAATAACATAGATTAGAAAACAGTGTAATACTCATTTGTCAATTCAGAAGAAATGCCAGGCTATTTCAGAAAAATTAATCACAAAACACTGATTATGAAATTTCTTGCTTCAACACGTGCCTTACCTTTTTCCCTCCACCTGGACACTTCCATTCTGTAAAATGGTCGTGACTTTGTTGACCGTGATTTCGACCTGTTCCAGGAGCCCGTTCACCCCCCTCCTCGTGGTGATGGTACTGTCCACTCTGTTGTGGGTGAAACTGGTGAGGGTGAAGGGGCAATTCGAGCGAACGTGGAAAAGGGTCCCATTGAAAGGCTGCACGGCCCCACTGCCAAAGGTCTTGCAGGTGTCTGGATACAACAAACAGGACTCAAATATGGCACCAAGATAACAGTTAATACAAGCAAATAATAATAACACGGCATTTAGAGGTCCTAAATTACACAAAACGGACTCTTGTGAGCTTTAAGCCATATTATAATGGGGTTGTGTCCTCAAAAACATACCTGGATTTGGGTTTTGTTTAATCCACAGCTCCTTTTACATTTTGTTCAGTAGAGATTGGCAATTATACTTTGAGACATTCTCTCCACTCTGCTCTCTGAACCCAAATTAACTATGGATTTGATAACTTGGTCACTCAATGCAATTGACACGATTTTTTCTACGAGAAGCTCAGGGACGGGCGAACCTGCGTGTCCCCGTATTACTTTCCCCACAGGGTACACAATGGACGGTTGGCAGAACTGGCTAGTCGTGTGCCCGGCAGCTCTCTCTGTGGAGGACATAGAAGACATCTCCCTATTCAGTACCATGATTACAGGTCTTTTGCTGATTGGCTCAGGCATGGCCCTAATTTTTTGAAAAGTTTGATTACTGAGGCGGCTCTTCAAAGCCCCACTTGCCCGGTCTAATTGAAAGTGGAGGTAAAGCTATGAACTCATAAACTGTGACTATGAGCCATATTTTGGAAGGTGGGGCTGCCTCGCACCGCATGTTGGAAAACATCATGGAAAAGTTAACGGTGACTGATCGCAGAATGGACAGGACTTTGGCCTTGGAGTGCAGTATGGATAACATCTCTGAGAGACTTCAAGCTTTAAAAGGGTGGTGTGTAGACCTTGAGACCAATAGACAATCAGAGCAGGGGGTGGAAGGAAATGTGGAAATATTGAATTGTTTTTAATCACTGTAAAGCACTCTATAAATAAAGTTTGATTGATTGATTGAATTCCAGGGCTGAAATATCAAAATGATTCTAGTGAAGGTGTATGAAGTTTAAAACACTGTATTACTGCATGACTTTAGTATTTTGAGCTTTGGAGATGTAGACAGACTCAAACGTGTGAATGAAACAAAGCACAACTCGAGGTTTGTTTTTGATCAGGTAACATTATAATGTGATTTAAAGCTCACAAGAGTCAGATTTTCATATATGTCAAGTACTTTTTAGAGTAATCAGTTAATCTTTAAATCGTTTAAACCTGGTGGATGAAAATGTTAAATAAATTTGACCTATGTGAAAGCTTATGTCACTTGAGTACAGACTGCATTACAAGTACAGACTACATTAGCTCTTGATCATTTCAATCATCAACTAGCTGTCACGCCCCTGCCTGTCCTGAGTCTTCTGTGTGTGGATGTGGGCGGAGTCTGCTGGGAGCACCTGCTTTCCATCTCCAATCAAGCCTGCAACAAAGGCCCAGCTCTCCTGCCAGACTCTGCCAGACTGTTTCGTCTACCTGATGTTCCCGCCTTTCAAGACTCCTGCATCCCGGCATCTGGCTCCTCATCTCTCCACCACCTGACCTCCCTGGTTAATAAACCTTGTTACTTTTGCATTTTTGTTGTAGTTTTGAGTCCTTTTTGGGTCCACTCCAGTGTTACCTAACAGAACAGTCTGGCCAAAACATGGACCCAACAGACTCAACCCTCCACTCCGAGATGGATCCAATTTCTCTGGCTCAAGCAGAACCTAACCCGTTGTTCCAAGCTGTCTCCAATCAAGGTCAATTATTGGGGATGCACGACAATCAACTCGGAGACATTGTTGGAAACCAGCAAGCTTTTGCTGCACAAATGAACCAAATTGGGACCATGTTGGCTAACCTCACCACTGCGTTCACCCAGTTTGCTGCTGCTGCTCCGCCACCATCCGATGCCCTCTCTGGTTCTTCTCCTCCACCTCCAGCTCCACCTTCCTTGGCTCAACGGGAACCTCATATTCCCACTCCTGAGCGATACGCTGGTGATCTTGGCTCCTGTGGTCGGTTTCTCCTCCAGTGCTCCCTGGTGTTCGATCAACAGCCCCTCACCTATGCGTCAGATAAGTCTCGCATTGCTTTTGTTATTAGTTTATTAACTGATAAAGCATCTCAGTGGGCAACAGCGGCTTGGGAGAGTAACTCTGATATTTTTCGATCCTTCTCTGCCTTTTCTAATGAAATGAAAAAACTGTTTGATCATCCTGTAAAAGGAAAAGAAGCTGCTAAGAGGTTGTTAGCACTCAACCAAGGATCCTCCTCAGTTGCTCAGTACGCAATTGATTTCCGAATCTTAGCTCATGAAAGTGGTTGGGATGACATTGCCCTACAGAGTGTTTTTTTTAAAAGGACTCTCAGACAATGTTAAAGACGAGCTAGCCGCCAGAGATGAGACCAGCAGTCTCGAGGAGCTAATCTCCCTGGCTATACGTCTTGATAACAGACTCCGAGAAAGACGCAGGGAGAGAGGCTCACGGCAACTTACCCTTCGTGCTCATTATGCTCCCTCACCTCCTGTTCAGTCACCTGTGCCAATTAATGTTCCTCCTATGCTTTCCAGCCACTCCAAGCCTTCTGACACAGTGGAGCCTATGCAACTGGGTCGGGCCCGATTAACTCCAGCCGAACGCCAACGTCGACAAAGGTCTGGTCTTTGCTTTTACTGTGGACAAGAAGGACATTACATCAGTGCTTGCCCCTTGCGGCCAAAAGACCAGGCTCACCTGTGAGTGGAGGGGTCCTAGTGAGCCATGTTTCCTCTCCAACGCCATTTTCTCCGGACCGGCTGCTTCTTCAGACTTCTTTGCTGTTGTTATGTGAGTCACTCTCATGCCATAGTTTTGTTGATTCTGGGGCCGACGATAATTTTATTGACTCAACCTTTGTTCTCCAAGCTAATATTCCTACTGAACCATTAGAGTTTCCTAGGGAGGTTAATGCACTGAATGGAAGCCACCTAGCCAAAATCACTCACCGCACCATGCCTGTAACCCTTGTAGTTTCTGGCAACCACAGAGAGGAGATACAATTATTGGTTATTCCATCCCCACAAGCTCCAGTGGTTTTGGGACTACCTTGGCTTAAGCTGCACAACCCACAAATAGATTGGTCAGCCAACAAGATTAACAGCTGGAGTGTTCACTGTCATTCCCATTGCCTCAAGGCAGCCATTACTTTGAGTAAAAGTTTAAACTCCACTCCACCTTGTCCTCCTGATTTGAACTCTGTTCCCACCATTTATCATGATTTGGCTCAAGTTTTCAGCAAAGAGAAAGCATTGTCTCTTCCACCTCACCGTCCCTATGATTGTGCCATAGACCTACTCCCTGGAGCTCCTTTGCCGTCTAGTCGTTTGTATAAACTTACCCGTCCTGAAAGAGAAACTATGGAGCAATATATTAAAGACTCTCTGGCAGCTGGGTTAATCCGGCCCTCCTCGTCCCCAGTAGGGGCTGGATTCTTCTTTGTGGATAAGAAGGATAAAACTTTACGACCTTGCATTGATCGTGGATTAAATGACATTACCATAAAAAATAAATATCCCCTACCACTCATTGACTCGGCATTTGAGCCCCTCCATCAAGCTAACATTTTTACCAAGCTAGACCTCCGCAATGCCTATCATTTGGTCCGCATCCGCCAAGGAGATGAGTGGAAGACTGCTTTTAATACTCCTATTGGTCACTTTGAGTATTTAGTCATGCCGTTCGGACTTACAAATGCCCCTGCTGTATTCCAAGCCCTGGTTAATGATGTGCTCCGTGACATGCTCAATAAATTTGTTTTCGTTTATCTGGATGACATTTTGATTTTCTCCAAAGATCTTAAGGAACATGTGGAGCATGTGAGACTGGTTCTGCAGAGACTCTTAGAAAACAAGTTATTTGTAAAAGCTGAAAAGTGTGAATTTCATGCAACCACTGTTAATTTTCTTGGTTTTGTTATTGAGCAGGGGCAACTCAAACCTGATCCAGCTAAGGTGAAAGCTGTTGCGAAGTGGCCCAGACCTGAGACACGCAAACAACTCCAGCGTTTTTTGGGATTTGCCAATTTCTACAGGAGATTCATCAAAGATTACAGTCGTAAAGCAGCTCCACTTACCTGTTTGACCTCCACCCTTGTCCCTTTCAAGTGGTCTAATGATGCTGAAATAGCCTTTTCCTCACTCAAACAACTTTTTATAACTGCTCCTGTTTTGTCCCACCCAGATCCATCCAAACAGTTCATAGTTGAAGTTGACGCCTCGGACTCTGGAGTGGGTGCTGTCTTGTCCCAGCGTTGCCCTAAGGATCAGAAGATTCACCCTTGTGCTTACTTCTCTCGGCGACTAACACCAGCTGAAGCCAACTATGACATTGGCAACAGAGAACTTCTGGCGGTCGTTTTGGCCCTGCAGGAATGGCGCCACTGGCTGGAAGGAGCTGAGCACCCCTTTATCGTGTGGACTGACCATAAAAACCTTTCTTACCTTCGTTCTGCTAAGAGGTTGAACTCCCGTTCAGGCTCGTTGGGCACTGTTCCTCGGAAGATTTTAACTTTGTTTTAACTTATCGTCCTGGATCCCGGAATGTTAAGCCTGATGCCTTATCCCGTCAGTCCACTTCTGAAGAGGCTGAAACCCCACCTGATCCTATCTTGCCTCCAGCATGTGTCATGGACAAGCCATCTACTTCAAGTTTCCTCCTTGGAGCTGTTAGTTGGGAGATAGAGAAGGTAGTCCGGGAGGCCCAACAGACCCAACCTGACCCTGGTACTGGTCCGCCCAATTGTTTGTTTGTACCTGACTCTGTGCGCTCCCAAGTCCTCCAGTGGGGGCATGCCTCCAAGTTGACGTGCCATCCTGGTTTTAATCGCACCTTAACTTTCCTCAGACAAAGATTCTGGTGGCCCTCCATGGCTCGTGACACCAGAGTTTTTGTTTCTGCTTGTCCTGTGTGCGCTCGCAGCAAATCCAGTCACCTGCCCCCTGCTGGTCTTCTCCATCCTCTGCCAATCCCCAGCCGGCCTTGGTCACATATTGCAGTAGACTTTGTTACGGGTCTTCCCACATCAGACGGTAATACCACTATACTTACCACTGTGGATCGTTTTTCTAAAGCCGTGCATTTTGTTCCTCTTCCCAAATTACCTTCATCCTCGGAAACGGCTAAACTCTTGGTTCAACATGTTTTTCGTCTTCACGGTATTCCCACAGACATTGTGTCTGACAGAGGCCCACAATTCTCCTCTCAAGTTTGGAAGGCTTTTTGTCTGTCTCTGGGGACTTCAGTCAGCCTTACTTCTGGTTATCATCCTCAATCCAATGGACAAACTGAGAGGGCTAACCAGGACCTGGAGTCTGCACTGCGCTGTGTCACAGCCCGTAACCCCACCACTTGGAGCTCATTTCTGCCTTGGGTCGAATACGCCCACAATTCCTTGGTGTCTTCTGCTACTGGTATGTCTCCTTTTATGGTGTCATTGGGTTTTCAACCTCCATTATTCCCTGTTCAGGAGACAGAAGTCGCAGTCCCTTCTGTCCAGGCCCATCTGAGACGCTGCCGTACTGTTTG